CCATCAGGACCTCACGCCACCATCTTTGCTTCATGCCTACCTGGAGGAAGCTCCCAACCTGGCCTGTGCCCTGGTCACCTTTCACTGCATCTTCCCCAGGGGGTTTTCACTAGGTGGATGGTGTGGCCTTATTCTCAGGACTTCTCTCTCCCTGGGTAATGTTGCAGAAGAGGGTGAGTAGTGCGTGTGTGTTATGTCACAGAAACATTAGGAAGTTGTTTGGAGCATGCCCAGTCTCTTTGAGGATGAAGTAGTTATGCTTGCATGTTAGTCTTCTTACCAGTAAACACCAATTTTAGGGGTTTTAACCTGTCTTTTCCCAAAGGCCAAGATTCTGTTTACAATCCCAGGTCTAACATTTTCTCAGTGAGCTCACAGGAAGATGTTAAGCCTCTGGGTATGAAGTGGAAGAGAATTTTCAGGATTGGCTTCACTAGAGCTGATTTCCGCCAGTGGGCTCAATCACAGTAATTCACATGGGCAGGTCACAGTTCCAAAGTCTCATCCCAGAAATGATCCCATTTGCCCATCGGAACAGCCTGAGGAGTTGTTGAGCCAGTGTTCTCAGCCTGAATTCAACAGAACAGGATCAGACACCAAAGTTCCAGAAGCACTGGAACATGGCTGTGGTGTTGAGGAGTAAGTGCGGAACAAGCACCCACCCCCCCCCCAGTTCAAATACACTCCCTAAAATGTGTAAGCAAGCAGCTAGAAGCAAGGAGGGAAGGACATTATGATTCTCAAGCTGCCCCTAGGGTGCAGCTGGGACCTTCTCTGCCAACTTCTGGGTCACTGAAGGTTCACAGTTGATCTTTGGCTTTCCTGTTCAACCCCACAACCAGTGTGCAGAAAGGTCACTGTGCTCCAGGCTCTTCTCCATCACCCTCTCCCAACTCTGTGCTATAGCCCTGGTACAGAACCAGGGATGGACAGACAGATGGGTGGATGGGTGGATGGATGGATGGACAAGTGAATGGGTGGATGGATGGAAGAATGGATGGTGGATAGATGGTTGGATGTGTATGTGTATGGACAAGTGGGTGGATGGACAGACGGATGGATGTGTGTGTGGATGGATGGATGGATGGATGGATGGATGGATGGATGGATGGCTAGACAGATGGAGGGACAGATCTTACTTGAGGGCCTCTGCAGTGCCTTTTACCATTCCAGCATATAGTAAGTGCTCAGTAAATATTGGCTGTTTTTTCAGTTTGAAATACAATGGCTCTGCTTCAAATTTTGCATGAGCAGAATGCTGTGGCAGTACAGTGGTGTCTCGTAATTGGTCAACCCTTGCACTGTTGCTGCAACAAGACCCCTTCTGTGTAGCTATTTAGACAACAGAGTGTTCTGTCATGGAGTGAAGATGCAACTGAGAACCCAGAGCTGCTCTCAGCTCCCCCTCCGCTTGCCATTCCTTCTTCTCAGCATTAATATCTGACTCTCTGATGCCTCATCTTTTTCCAGTGCTGACCTCTCCATCCACTGGATTAGGGAAGGAATAACACTCCACATTTCTAACTGAGATATTTTTCTCTGAGTATGCAGGTTGTAATTCTGTGTTCCCTCCTGTCCATGCTACTTATTATCTTGTTCAGCTGTCTACTTGCTTGTGAGCACTTAGGGGGGACAAGCAAGCAGCTTCCGGAAGCACTTGAACCTCACATACCCAGCAGCCTCCCTCTCAGCTGTGGCTGGACAAGATAATCATCTGGGATATTTTTAAAAGCACACCCACAAGCATTGTGTTTAGACTTGGCATGTGTATGTGTATTTAAAATACTCCTCATCCACTTCTCTTGCCGTCCTGAAAAATTAAGTCCTAAAGCCATATAGTGTGGCAAAGCAAAGTGAGCATCTGCAATGGGCAAGTGGGGGCATTGGTAGGACCCAGGAGACCAAAGCCAGAGTGTCAGAGCCAGTAGGGTGAAGAGGACAACTTGGGGGCGGGGTGGCAACAGAGGTGGGGAATTGCTTACATATGGGGGGATGGACCAAGTAAGGAAATAATTTAAGATGAATAGAAACCAGGTTTCTCACTGTTGGAGAAGGGAGTTATGAGAAGAATTAGCATTGGGGTATTGGATTGGAATGGGAGGTATCGGTGCACTCCAAGTTAATAGAGAGATGACGGATGACAGTATCTGTGTACATATGTGAGTGTACACACAAGACAACGTGCCTTCCCTCCATTCACTGAGTCTAGAAGCAATGACATCCCAAAAGTGATGATTATATTTTGGCTTCTAAACAACATTATCCACTATTTTAAAAAAAGAAAAAAACAAAAAACAACTCCTTGGAGAAATGGCCGAATCCAGGGCTGAAGCAGAGAAGGTACAATAGGAACCCGGATAAAGAAGTGGTACATATATACAATGGAATATTACTCGGCCATCAAAAAGAATGAAATCTTGCCATTGGCAATGACATGGATGGAACTAGAGGGTATTAGGCTGAGCAAAATAAGTCAGTCAGAGAAAGACAACTATCATCTGATTTCACTCCTATGTGGAATTTAAGAAACAAAACAGATGAACATGGGGAAGGGAAGAAAAATAAGATGAAAACAGAGAGGAAGACAACCATAAGAGACTCTTAACTCTAGGGAACAAACTGAGGGTTGCTGGAGGGGAGGTGTGGGGGGGGATGGGGTAATTGGGTGACAGGTATTAAGGAGGGCACATGATGTAATGAGCACTGGGTGTTAAATGTCACTGATGAATCACTAATTCTACTTGTGAAATTAATAATATACTATATGTTAATTAAATTGAATTTAAATTTAAAAATTTTTTTAAAAGATGAATCTGGACCATATTCTTATGTTAGAAGGCTAGGAAGCCCTCTGAAAAATGATGGGGCTATGTTACAAGGACACAGCTTGAATGAGCCACACTAACCCAAGCAGGGCATATCTGAGCATCAAAATCAGCACTCATGGATTGTAACTCATTGAATGAAATTGAAGCCAGGAATCCATAGTGATATCAATAAATGTATAAAGATTTGGTGAGGAGTAGAATATGTGCATAGATTCAAAATTTCTCCCCACAAAATGCTTATTAATGATGGAGGGAAAATGAGTAGCTCTGTAGGGGGAAGCCTGGCAGATGGTCCAAGGGGAGTGGTCCAAGTCGTCACCAGTAATGGGATAGTCCAAAGGCCCAGGCCACCTGATAGAACACTGAGAGAAGGACACAGCATAATCCAATACAATCTAATCACAGGAAAGAGAGGAACCCACTCTAAGGACATACCAGACCCGTAGTCTTCAAAAGCGTCAAAGCCACGAAAGTCAAGGAACCCCTGAGGAATGTTCTAGACCAGAGAAGTCTAATGAGACACCACAGCTAAAAGCGGCATGCTGGAGTCTTTGTTTGAAAGGCATTTTGGGGACAGTTGGCCGACTGTGACCGGGGTCTGTCACGGTGATTAGACCAATCAGTGTACTAGTGATTGGACGTACCCTTGATTTTGATGACTGTGTTGTAGTTTTGTAGGAGAACGTTCTGTTCATAGGATATGCACCTAAACTCTTTCAAGGTACCGGATTTCAGGTTGGCAAGTTACCTTCAAATGATTCCAGACAAACAAACAAAAAAGTAATTTATACTATATGCACAACTTTTTGTCATCTTTTGGTTGCTGTCAAGTATTTTTAAGTATAAAAGTAAGACATTTTGAGTCAGCAAAAGTAAACAAACAAACAAACTTAAAAAAAAAAATAGGTACAATAACAACAAAACTTCCCAGGTCCAGGGCGCCTGGGTGGCTCAGTCATTAAGGTCTGCCTTTGCTTCGGCTCAGGGTCCTGGAATCGAGCCACACATCGGGCTCCCTGCTCCGCCAGAAGCCTGCTTCTCCCTCTTCCGCTCCCCCTACTTGTGTTCCCTCTCTCACTGTGTCTCTCTCTGTCAAATAAATAAATCAAATCTTAAAAAAAAAACTTCCCAGGTCATTGATGCATTCCTGAAGAGACACAGTTTTTGTTCTAGAAGTAATTCAAGGAGTTAGCTGTGGGCTATGAACGTACAGCTATTTCCCCAGGCCCCCCACCCTGGATTCTCCAGCAGGGCCTCACTTGCTAGCTCTGGCCCTACCTGCTCCAGTGCTCACAGACCTCCCTCAGTGAATCCTGAGTATCCTCCAAGTGCTCCAGAACAAGTCCAGATGCCACCTGAGGGTCTTGTGTGGGTGCTGCCACCTTGGGTGGCACCATGGATGCTGCAGAGGCCCCATCAAGCTGTGAGCTCTAACTCTCTCGTCTCGATGGGCTCTTCCCTTGGGGTGGCTGGATTGTTGAAGAACATCAAGGCTACAGTCTTCTATCCAAATATCTTGAGTCTAAGTGAATGCATTTCTTGGAGCCAACTCTTTCCCTGAGCCTCAGACATGATTCAGGGGTGTGGGCTGTGGAGGACCCAAGTAGCCTGGGTCAGAGTCGCTCCCCTCCTGGTCTGAGGATTGAAATCCAGGTCACCTGCTCACTGCCCTCTTCTGTTCTGGGGGGAGTGTTTCCTAGAAAGGCCCCAGATCTTTGTAACAATGGACCCCACCAGCCCACCTGATGTGCACAGATACACTTGTGCTCCTGATGAGTAAGGCTTCAGCTCAAGCAGCTGGACATAGGAATGACCCAGAAAAGGAAGCCTCCATCCCTCCTGCCCCCACTGCTTCCTTGTTAAATGCCTCCAGATAATAAGTCCCCATGTTGCCACGTGTTCTGGGTGGACTGCCTCTGTCGCCAGGGGGATCTTGTCTTAAAGGTGGCCAGCAGCCATCACCAGAAGCTTCTCTCCCATTGTCCCCTGAGACCACCGCAGGGTGGGGGTGAGGAGCTGGGTCTTGTGTTTTTGCCATCAGTGGGTGGCATGGCAGGGAGGTGGCCTCCGTGGGCCTCAACAGGCAGGGTCAATGGAGGTAGGACCTAGATGGAGGGTGTTGTCTTGAACATCCCCCACCCTAACTCAGGCTTGCTTTGCTTTGTCTCCTAGTGTGGACAACTCTGAGGACCCCGTGTACGAGAGTCTAGAGGAGTTCCATGTGTTTGTCCTCGCCCATATATTAAGAAGACCAATAGTTGTCGTAGCAGATACAATGCTGAGGGACTCAGGTGGAGAAGGTAAGTTGATACAATAGTAAAACAGCCGTATATGACGCATGACCCAGAAAACATAACATCCCAATTAAGGAAGAGACAGCCTAACGTATGAGTTGAGGATCCCAGAAAGCCACAGAGCCTTATTCAGTATGGATGAAGATTGCAGTATTTCTCATTTCTCCTCGACCTGATGTGTTTCTTTTTCTTCCCCAGTGGCAGGAGGGGTTACTCTTGGTCACCCACCCATCCATCTAGACTTTGTGTCAATGGCAGGTGGCCATGAGAAATCTGTCTGAGTAACAGATGGAACTAAATCCAGAGGGTCTCCCACCCGCCACCTGTGTGCTCAGAGTGAGGCAGGCAGCCCACACCCCTCCAGGGCAGGCCTCATCCCAGGGCCACCAGCCACTCTAGTCCCCTCCTACCCTCTGCAGCCTATGTGTGTCAAAGGGGAAAAAAAGACAGAAAGCATGAAGTCACAGGGCAGAATTGGGACTGGAGAAGAAGGAAAGGACAGCAAGGGCTGCTTATCGCCTGTCCCCCGCCCGCCGAGAGCCAAGCACTGGCTTTCACGGCCCCTTTGCACGTGCCCTCTCCCTCAGCCCTCCCCACACCCTCCCAGAGTGGACACTGAAGCCCAGAGAGGCTACACAATGTGCCCCAGCCCTCGACTAAGGCCTTGGAGGAACCAGGCCAACCCAGGGCAGCCTTTCTGCCAGAGTGAGGGGCAAGGCCACTTGAGAAGTCCATGAGGCAGCCATGCTACCTAAGGAGAAGGAAAAGAAGAGGGGCCAGGGAAGGTGGGCCAGAAAGGTCACCCCCAGTGCAACTGCCCCCGCCTCTCAACAAAACTCCCCATTTCCAGCCCCTCCCACACTGTTTTCACCTTCCCTTCACTTCCATTACCAGCACGAGCCAGTCCCTTTCGGCGCCATGTTTCCCTTTCTTCACTTCTTGAAAAGGTCTCCTTGCTAGGCGAAGGAGATAAGACAGTGACTTATCCCTCCAGCCTAACTTAAATTTAAACCAAAGCCTTAACAAAAGTCGTGGGCCTTCCAGAGAGTCCTACAAATCAGGATGAGAGTCTTCATGCTAAATCACAACTGCCAAAGAAGACCAGTGGGGCCACGGCTGTCATGGTGGGAGGGAGCTGGGAGTACACTGGTCTTGCCCAGCGCCACTTCCCTCCCTGTGCAGCCCAGCGACAGGGGCTCCTGAGGTCTTCAGCCTCTCTGGGAGCAGAGGCAGGACCCTCATTGGGGTCCCTGGGCACATGAACCTGTACCCATCAGATCCCACAAGGCTGGGTCCATGCTTCTTTCCATCCTACCTGTGCTCAAGAGTACAGCCCTCTTGAAAGAGGACTTACCCCACCTCTCAGCCCGTGGGCAGAAACACGACCAAAAATCAATGTGGTTTTTTTTTTATTATTATGTTCAATTAGCCAACATATAGTACATCAAATAATGATTAAAAATAAAATAAAAAAAGAAAATTGCACAGTTAGGAAAATAAAAAGAAAATTACATAGTATTAAGACCCAAGTGATCTAATACTGGAGCCCACATTCCTCAATATATGCTTATTGCTTCCAATAAAAGATTTTAAAGTAAAAGAACAAAAATAAAACTTTTTCAGATTGTTCGGGAAAAAAAAAAAAACCAATGTGGATAAAGCAGGGTGAGTAGAAGGAAACCTAAGCATTCCTCAAAAGCCTCACGGAACTGATTGTTGTTGCATTCAGCTCACAGAAATACAGTGAGTGAGTCACTGATTCCAAGGCCAAGAGGCAAAGTTCTTTATGATTAAAAAGCATATGCTGTATCAGGGCAGATATTTCTGGGAGTTATTCTATTTCAGTGAGGGTTTAAGTCTCTCTTCTCTCTCTTTGATGAGTAAGGGAATGAACATGATTATGTCCCAGTTGCTGAAGGAGCCAATCCCCATCTCTCATTTTCCATCTGACTCACAATTTGGTTCTGGAGTTTTCTGGTTGGTTCCTTTGGACTCAACAGAAGAGCTTCTCAAAATATAGAACAAGCAAGCAAGGATTTTGTCCTGTATACAAATGCTTTCGTGAATACATGGGGAGGAAGAAGCTCATCCAGAAAAACCCAGATTTCCCGGCAGTCATCAGTGGATGTCATTGCTGACCATTGTGAGTTCTTGGTCACCTGTGCAGGTCTCAGGACAACAGGCTGTCCCTGGGAAGATTACAGCAAGAAGCCCTCAGCCCTGTCCCTCCTGTTTCCAGGGCACAGCCTGACAAGAGCCAGGAGGACTCTGCCATGGAGGCAGGAGGGCATGAGAGGTTCCCTGGGCATGCATGGGACCACAGGTTTCATCCCACTGGTTGAGCCTCACCCGTTGTTAGGTGGGCAACACCCAGCTTACTGCCATGTGGATGGAGCAGCTGACACCTAAGGCTATGGTCTGAGACCACCCTCCCTTCCCTCTGCCCGACCACATCGTGCAGGGTGGTCAGGGATGCCACCCATGTACCCTTCAGGCTCCACAGGCCCTCACCATTTCTGTCCACAGCATTTGCTCCAATCCCATTCGGAGGGATTTACCTGCCCCTGGAGGTGCCTCCCAACAGATGCCACTGCTCTCCTCTGGTTCTTGCCTACGATCAAGCGCATTTCTCTGCCCTTGTGTCCATGGAGCAGAGAGATCAACAAAGAGAACAAGGTATGCCCGCCGCCACCTGAGAGACAATGTATAGGGTAGGGGTGGGCATCGGAGGGCACGGGGAGGCAGAAAGTGGGGTCCTCCATGGAGAGCACACCCACGCACAGTGAGGGGTTTTGTGTGTATATGGCATGTAAATGGGTATGTATGTATAAATGTTATCATTGGAAATAACAGTGTCAAAGACAACTCTTAATTTAAAATACAAAGCAAATTAATAATTCCTACCACACTTAAAGAGCCTTTACTATTTTCCCCTTTCACGTGTATATATATTTTATGTGGATATAATTCATCTTAGAGGTAATTATTTTTAAGTCCCTAGAGCAGGGGTCAGCAAACTATGGCCCACTGCCTGGTTTTGTAAATAAAGTTTTATTGGAACACAGCCACATTCATTCACTGATGTATTATCTGTGGCTACTGCTTTTGCACTACAAGGGCAAAGTTGAGTAGTAACCACAGAGACTGTGTGGTCTGAAGAGCCTGAAATATTTACTGACTAACACTTTGTGGAAAAATTTTGCCAAGCTCTGCTCTAGAGTAAGCTTTTGAATCAAAACATTGATATTTTCTTTCAAACTATTACAACTGTTTCCCACAAATAGTCATTTCAGTGCTGCAGACAGGCCCTCCAGGCCAGCTGCACAGGCTGTGCACTGCACAATTCCAAGCCACCAGTCAGACATTCATGTGGAGCCTGTCTTCCATCAGTGCAATATGTGTCTTTGCTGTGGAAATGGTGGGATTCTGACTGGAATGGTTGCTGTTTTCTCGCGTTAACTACTGACTAGCTGAGGGAAGCGGGGAAAACTCATCCTCTTGTCACTCCTGTTTCTGGTTTAGACAGAGAATCCCCCAAGGGACTAAAAGACAGGCAGGACTGACGGTTTCAGGGTCCCTGCCTTTGGATGTGGTCTGAGGAAATGCGTGGTGGCCAATCAGGCAGCGATGTGAGTCCCAGAAGGAAAAGGAAAGCAGGGTTGCTGCAGCTGTAATGGGAATATCAGATCATTTTTCCACATCATTTACAGACATCTCACTTGGGTCACAGAAAGCAATATTTAGCCGTGAAGGCCTGAGAGGCATTTCTGCCTTTTTTGTAGTCTCTCAGACTTTTGGCCTTTGTGGGTTTCTCAATGCTTACCACAGCCCTTGGGCAATGTGGGGGGCCTTTTTCAGGCCCTGGGATCCCAGCCAAGATCTAGGCCCTTCTGTCCAGTCTCCCCAGAGACTCTCTGCGGTTAGGGAAGATGAAAGTCCCAGGTCTGACATCTTCAGTTGCTGAGCAGGGGACTCAGATGGCCAGTCCCCTCCTCACAGAAGGCATCGAGCTTTCTTCCAGGCCTTCTAGATACTGCTTTTTGGTGTTTCAAGGTGAATATGCAGGTGCCCTTCTATAAAAGAATGAAGGTGGAAGGGCTGTCGCTTGACTTCTCTCAGGGGAGTGTTGCAGAGGTGAGAGTAATTTCACCTCTGACAACTTACTTTTCCCAAAGGTGAGTTTTGGTCCCAGTCCTTCGTTCTGTGTGCCTGTGCCTTGGGCTGCTGCAGCTCCGCCCACTGGGTTACTCCTCAGAGCGGTGGGGGTCCCTGCCTCCACTGTTCTCTTGTGGCCAGCGCTGCACATTGACCCATCCAGGCCCCACGATCCACCGCAGAGCAAGTACTGCAGTGCCACCTTCTGCACAAGCAGAAGCAAAGCACGTGTAAGTGGCTCCCACCGGCTGGGTAACTTCTGTGCAGCATCTCAGACCCTCATACATTTGGAGAGAACACAAATGCTCTGCAGACTTTTAGGTTTTAAGTATTGCTAGCAACATGTCCCCTGTGCCACCCTTGTCAAGTTAGTGACCTTGCTCACTGTACCTCATATCAGCCTAAAGTTCAGTGGTCCTGCAGCATTTGTTTGGGGGCCAAGGGTTAGTTCAGTAAACGCATGGAAAGCACCTGTTACATTCAGGTTTGGGGGCCCCAAAGATGACGGCATCCCTGCCTTAGGGCTCTCACTACCTTGTAGGGGAGATCCCACCAAGGCGGGATATACACCAAGCAGGCATGAGCTGCATTCAGGATGGGAGCAATTATTCCAATTTGGAAGAACAGACAGAGAGACTAAGGGAGAGGTGGGTTAGAACTAGTCTTGGAGGCTGTGCGTGATGTCCAGAGGCTGCTAGGGGACAGACTAGGTCTTAGCAGAAGTGCTGGGCTGCTGAACGAGTGTCACTGTGGTACAGCAAGCATATGCTGTAAGAGTGTGGGCATGGAAAGGCCTGGGCACTGCTGCTTCTTTGCTGTGTGGCATGAGGGTTGCTGTGGGACCTCCCAGCCTACCTCCTGTCTGTCGGCCAGGGCAGTAACACCCACCTCCCCGGATGCTGAACCCGCTCACCTTCCCTGCCCTGCCCTTGATCCCCTCACCCCCACTGAGGGACATCCCCACTTAACTATGAAGTGACCGTTGCAGGACAGTCCCTCCATGCACCGAGGTCCTCAGTGGCCTTGCGAGTAATCACTAGGAAACAGCATTGCCTATCCTAAGGCAGACCTGTCTCCTGATCCTTCAGTGTTGCTTCAAAGATAAACCTAAAGGCCTTGACTCTATCCCTTCCTGACCATCGTTAGTGCCCAGTGTCCCGCTCAAAAGGATCTGTTGAAGGTGGGAGGAATAGAGAGGACCTGTCAAGGGAGCCATCACCAGAGGAAGCCAACCCCCGGGCTCCTCAGGGGTGCTGTCCTGCTTTCCTGGCCTACAGCAGAGACTGCAGGGGCCTCTTTGCAAATACCAGATCCTAGCATTTCAGTTATTACTGTTGCCTGGTAGTTGGGGGTACTGGAGAGAAGCTGAGAGGTAAGGAACCCATCTAAGGAACAGACTCAGCCTCTCTTCTCAGCCTTTATAATGCCAAGGAAAATGGAAACAACCACAGAAAGCCATGCTATAAGCCCCTAAGGGAAGATGTGTCCTGAATAGCACTGGGCTGCAAGGGCCTCACAGGGGAAAGGGGCCACTGCCACCTCTATAACAGGGAGTCCTTCCTGAATTGGGTTGTCCAGGGCTGGCACAGCTGCTCTAAATGTTCTCAGGGATTCAGTTTCCCAGCCTCTCCCTGTTCCACCATTATTATCCTGTGGTTTTAACCTCATAGTCACAAAATGGGTGCTGCCACTCCAGCCATCACATCCAAATACCTTCTCTTCATGAAAGTTTAACTTTTCATTTAAGGGGGAAACCTTCCCCAAGGACTTGTGCTGGCCTCTTGATAACCAAAGCTGAGCTCCACGCCTGCAGTTTCCCAGCTGCAGAGCAGTCCAAGTAGGGAGTACAGCAAAGGAAGGAGGGGGCGAGGTGTTTGGTGGGGGTTTGGTGAGCCAGCTCTGAATCAGGGGGCAATGTGATGTTTTAGCAGTTCCATCTGGATTGTGCTCTTTCTTTCAGCAGTGATGAGTACCTTCTATCTGGGGAAAGGCAAAAGTGCAGAAAATGAATTCTTTCCAACTGGGCCCCCTTGTCTGGAAATAAATCACTGTTGGCTGTTGGACTCTCAATCCCCTAAAAAGCCATGGTGCATGAGGCTATCAGTGCCCCACTCCATAAAAGAAAACCCATTCTCTTTAAGTGCAGGGAGATAAGCAGGCTGTCCTGCAGCACCACTCAATTCTTTTGAATCTCATGGTGCAGGGGCAACCACAGGTAAAGGGTGGTGCATGCTCCATGCTGTCCTGACAGTGGTCAGTGCCCACAGGAGGGGGAGGCATTGGGGGTCCTGCTGCAAGCCATACCCGGGGCCAGGCAGCTGACTAGACAGTCTTGTGTCCCCCATCTGAATGCCACCTGGCAGTTTTGTGTTCAGAGGCTTTCTCTCCTCAAGCACTGGGCCTGTGCCAGGACCCTCTCAGACGGGAGAGCAGCCCTGGACCCATGGCCTTCCAAACCCTTCTGAACTGAGAACGTGGCCAGGCACTAGGGCTTCTCACTCCATCCTTAGAGAAAGTCTCGGTATCTCTGTGCTTTCAGGCTGCTACTCTGCCCCCAGAGAGCACCTTTGTGGAAACGAGAAGATTGTGCAGATGCTAAAGTCACCACCCCAGCTAGCGTCCTTGCCCACAAGGATAGGCAGCTGAGGGGGAGGAGATTTAGGAGATTTAGCAGGAAAACCATCTTTCTCCTCCCTGGCCCTGTCCTGCCATACCTCTCTTTCCATTCATAGGGCTCCCTGGTGCCCATTAGAACCCCTTCAGCTGCAGGTAACCAAAACCCAGCTCAGGTGGCATAGATAGGAAGGGTGTTCCTTGTCTTCCAACCACCTGGAATCTGGCAGGCCCCATGGGACAAGTGAGGCACTTGTCTAAGCCCCTCCATCCCACCCTGTAGCCTCCTCAGCTTCCATGCAGGACAAGCCACCGCCACCGTCCCCAGCATCAAGCAGGTCCAGTTTGCCCCCAAACGCCTGTGTCTGAGAGCAAGGCCAGATCCAGGGTAGGAAGTATACACAAAGATCCCAGAGCATCTTGTCCTAGAAGAAAATAAGACATCCTCAGAAACCACCAGGGTGGTGTTAGAAGGGTTCCTGGGCTGAGTGGGTAGGATAAGAGGGAGTGAGCAGCAGAGCTGGAATGGGCAGCCATGACAAAGATTCTTCAGTCCACAAATTCATAATGATACTCAGAGAAAGGCTCACTTATCGCCTCTGCAAGATGCTTTGGAAACTGGTCACACATAACTTTGGAAACTGGCAAATCGCAGGAAAGGATCAGCCTGAATCCCGCATTCCCTCAGTGAACTGGTGAGGGGACTTTGCTCTGAGTTGAGGTCTCCCCGCGTATCATGAAGGGAGAAGCAACAGCATTGTTGAGGGCTGACTTCATATGTTGAAGTCCTAACCCTATTCCTCAGGATGTGACTGTATGTGGAGACTGGGCCTTTTGAGGGGTAAAGTAAGGTCATGTGGGTGGACCCTAATCCACCTGACTGGTGTCCTCATAAGAGATTAGGACAC